ATGCAAAGTAGAAGTTGGGGGGAAAGCCCTTTGGGATGCCAGTGAATGCCTTTTCATTCTTTGTACACATCGGTGAACTGCCATGTGAATTTTCTCGGCTGGGCCAGACTGGAGAAATTGTTAATATTCCCAACAGAAATCGTTTTGGTGAAGTTAATTAGGGTCTCATGTTGGAGAAAATAGATACATTTCACCTCTAAAACTAATCTGCTTTTCTGCTACCACAAACATGTATAATTAAAACTGTATGATACCTGCCTCTCTTCGATCCTAGGCAAATAAAACTCCTTCTTTTCATGTACCAACTAATTTTCCTACATCCAGAATACATCAGCAGCATTTATTTTTTTTACAAAAATGCAGTAATATCTCAGGGCATTGAGAGATGTTTTTGATTATGAAATCAATGGAGCCCCCTGCTGTTCAATCAATATTAAATGCTTTTCCTCCTGCTGAAGTCCAGTCTTGATCTCCTCCTGCTACATTTACAGGCTTTGGGGCATGCAAGAACCATCCATTTGCACAAAGAGAAAGGCCCAGCAGAATTGCCTATGTTGGAGCTGTCCATCGGGATTCAGTTCCAAGTGGGAAAAAGACACTGGATTCATAGAAGTTGCTTGGAAAAAAGGTTTTAATGGTGGACAGGACCGCATGGCTTGAAGATGTTGGGTGAAGGAAAAACGGGCAGAGATGCTGAGTGTGTCTGAGTTTTATACCCTCTTTGGGCTTTTGAATGTTGAGCTTGCATTCTGATTGGTTGTCAGACTCCCATGGGGCCATGCAGGGACAACTCTGTAGGCTGTCCTGAGTCCCAGGCTTAGTTGAGCCTTGCTGGGTGATGTAATCTTCCCAGGTGCCATGTGGTGAGATGGATAGAGGGCCATGTCTTAATCCCATCACCCTGGAGCTGAAGGGGACGCAGGGAGCTGCTTTGTCTTTAAAACATATTTCTCCTTTTCTCAGCCAGGGAAATATAATATTCTGCCTTTTAAATATTTCCTAGAATATTTCATTCTTCTAGGAGAGGGGTGGGTGCTAACTTCCTACAGAGCCCATTACGTTACGTGGGGTAATCTCTGGTGTCCTTGTTCCACCTCCCAGCTGCTGAGCGTCAGCTAAATGGTGATGGAGTACAGAGACCAAAAATACAGTATAATCTTTTATTTATTACATATTAAAATGGTTTATACGACTGCTATTTCAGCATAGTGATTCTATGCAGCTGATAATATCTAAAAGCATGCAATATTGTAATCCAAAATAAAAATAATTTCATTATCTATACCCAAAAAAAATCTTAACTGAAAAGACAAAAATGATATAATGCAACTAAGGCTCCTGATCATCCATTTTTTTTAAAAGCCAAACAAAACAGAACCAACTTTGCACATCAAATTCAACTAACATTCTGGCTCAATCCCAGGAATGAAGTCACCAGGGTGGTTTATTGGATGGGGGAAAAGAGATTGGCTTTTTGGAACTTAACTGAGCACTATAGGCTGACTATATGTTTGGTTGCTGGCCAACAGCTATGTTGTGATTGGTTGGAATATCTCTGTGGTCATCTGTTGGCTAGGTAGAACACATTTTGATTGGCTGTTACTTATGCAGCAACTGATTTTTCTATTTAAATAAGGATGCTGCTACTATAAAGCCAGTCTATTTTTTCAGTACAGTATTCTAGAATGTCGGCTTCATGCCAGGTAAACTGCAAACATTCTGAAGCCATTCTCACATCTGGGTTTAAAGGTGCATCATTCACAGAGAGATGCATGTTGTGGCTCATGGATGAAGGGAGATTGGACCCAACACCTTCCCTTTCTGCCAGATAGAAAGACTCCTTTGTCTTCTGAAATTAGAAAGAGAAGGTAGCAACGGAGGTTGGAATGAGCAGGCTCAGAAATGATCTCACTGTGATTCTCAGGGATCATCTGGAGGAGGAGTCCGGGAATAATGGAGACAGAAAGAAAATCGTTTCAGGCAATAGTTACCCCCAGGAAGGATTAAATAAGAATGTGCAGCCATTCTAGAAGAGATTATTTTTTCATTTCGTTTTCAATGTGATGTTAAGTCTGATTTATTCTCTCTGATATTTATTGGATCAGCTCAAGATTAGTCGCTGCTAGGTTTGAAACCCTTTGGAGTTTCTCAGCAGTAGTTCCATCCCACCTTATAATCTCTCCCAACAAATTAAGATTTCTCCTTAATGGTTCTTTTTTTAAGTGCAGTTTGAGATTTTAGCAGCACTGTATTTGTGTTTTGTTTATCTTTTATTGTTTTCACTTGCGATTATCTAAAGTTAAAAAGGAATGTTTACTTTCCCCCCCTCTTTTGGAATGATGATGATGATGATGATGATGATGATGATGATGATGATGATGATGATGATGGTGATGATGATGATGATAACGATCTTGTGACATTGATGTAACTACCCAATGGAGGTGGGGAGGTTGGCTTCCCATACACCTCTGTAGGAAGTTAGCACCCACCCCTCTACTAGGAAAATGAAATATTCTAGGAAA